CCGATATGTGGCGCCATCTAATATACCTAAATTCATCTAGAAATGTTCATAAAAGTAACCCGAAAAACGGCGCTAACTCGGTAACCCGTGACCCGATTTTAACGAAACTTGTTTTATTCTCCTTTCATTACAAATATGGCGGCATTGTGCGCCGTTTTTGCAAACAAACAAACAATCTTAGAGTTTTAGTAGTATATAGATGTAACAAATATGATTCCGTCTATGTGGCAGTAGAGATGGAAAATGCTTATTTTTTTTTATCAGCGATAGCGAAGGAGACCAGATTATAGAGATTGTAAATCGCTTTGATATAATTATTTCGTTTGCTTGCATATCTAACAAAATGTATACAAAAATCTCACTCTCAGTAATTCTGTGGAAATTATCAGATATATCCAAGTGTGGTTGTTGACAGCTATGTATTATAGTGCACATTCCAAGAGACTGTCGGATTTTGCTCATTTTTGACAGAAGAAGTATGCCAAACTTGTTTGAATTGCAAATTATCTAAATTATCAAGGTCAGTGCACCATACTGGTTCATTAATTGTGTGGTACTCTCAAATAAAGCTGATTTTCTCCAAGAGTGAATAAGATAGGTCTGCAGAATAACAGGAGATTCGACTAGGAAATATATTACAAATTAATTCTGAATTCTCTCAACTTATCTGAGTTCACGAAAGAGACTGGATACAAATGTGAAAACACAATGAAAACCATCTTTATTTAATACAAACAGCAGTGTGTGCATTTTAGACGGAATGATGGACAGTTGTCTTTACTGAAGACCTAATAAGCTATTTACTCTCTGTAAATCTCTTTCAGTTGCCTAAGCTGTTTATGTGTTGTTCCAGTCTGAGAAAACATTACGTTATGTACTTAAAACTATAATGTTATACTTTGCCAGGGCGATTTGTGCTATCTACTGGACTATTTGTCATTCCTTGTGGTTATAAAGGAGATTGTAACCTCTAGATATCATCTGTTTGGCCAGTGTAAAACTCTGTTGTCTATACTTTTGTATATTGAGTATAGTTGACCTTGCAGAAAACTTTCCCACGGGAAGACAAAGGTGATATCTCTGATGAATGGCACAGAACAATATTATGTGTAAGCCGCACATACACCTATATGTATGAATATGGCCAGGTGGATAAGGCGCTCGACTCGCAATATGAGGGTCGCGGGTTCGAATCCCCGTCCCATCAAGTTGTAGGGGCGTTGGTAAAAGAGTAGCCCAAGAGTTGGCGGTGGGTCGTGATGACTGGCTGCCTTTCCTCTAGTCCTACACTGCTAAATTAGGGACGGCTAGTGCAGATAGCCCTCGTGTAGCTTTGCGCGAAATTCAAAAACAAAAATATCCAATAAATATAAACAGATAGGTATTGAAATAATAAGAAAATAAAATTAAGGTAACAAACTAAAGTAAGAAACTTAAACAACACTAAAAATTAAACGAAAGTAGAAATGTGAATGACATCTAGCTTTTAAAAGTATATATATAAAATTTATATTATAAAGCTGTTTTTGCGTTGCAAGTAAGTAGGTTTTCAGAGATAAGTGATTGACCTAAGCAAAAAAGAAAAACAAACAAACAAACAAAGCCTATTATATATTAGTAATCATAGTAACGAAAAAAATTAATAATCTGTGCTAACCTGCTGTGCCCCAATTTTTTCCATAAAGCAAGATATGCACACATAAGGTAACTTAACGTCCGAAACCTTTCAAGATCAACTTCAGATAAATTTTCGCATCCATCGTGTTATCTCCGAGTCACACTGAAAACTAATATTAAAATCGGTTGCAGCCCTATAACAAGAACCACAAGGCAAAATGTAGTTCTTTCAGAAACTATTCTTACGTTTCCGAGTAGGTATAATTAAATTCTGTTAAGAGAATAACGAAATAAAATAACCTCTTAATTAACATAGTGTACATATGTATATATATTAAATAGTAGTTCTGCCATTGGTTTTGCTACATTACTTTTGTCCTTAACTAATTAAGAGTGGTTTAAAAACAGACTTCTATGCACCGACCAACTGTAACTATGGCTCCCACCCCACCCCCGAAGCCCAGAACAAGAAGGATGCAACATGCTGGAGGGCTGGCCATAGAAGTTGAATCCAATTATGTAAAAATATCAAATGGAAATTACATCGAATGCCAAACTTTGTTATAGCACCGTATAAGTACTTAAACATATAAAAGTACGTTGCCCCCCTAGTTGCACAGCGGCATATCTGCTGATATACAACTAGATTCCGGGTTTCGATACCCGTGGTGGGCAGAGCACAGATAGCCTATTGTGTAGCTTTGTGCTTAATTACAAAGAAAAAAGTACGTTGATACACAAAATTAAACGTAAAAATATGAAAGCAGTTGAAAAATAAACTTATTATTAACAATTCTTTCTATTGTTTGAAGTTAAGCACAAAGTTACAAAATGGGCTATCTGTGCTCTGCCCACCACGGGTATCGAAACCCGGTTTCTAGCGTTATATGTTCGCAGAGATACTGCTGTGCCACTGGGGGGCAATTCTTTCTTGAAAAATGTTTAAAGCAGTTTAATACCAGTACATTTCGAATACTTTTCCCTATATTTTATGTATTTAAGTCAAAAAGCACTCCGGTATTTTTTTTTTTTTACACTTTACAGATATTGTAGCTACAACCTACAACCACCATAAATCCCTTCTAAAATGTTGTATCATCAGCAAAAAAATGAATACATTGTTCTGACTTTTGCAGATATGCTTTATTCGATGTACGTTTGTTACATAATATATAACATCGTTGTACATCTTTCAACAGTTGGTCATCCATTCAGTTATTACTTTGGGAGACATTTTAACATAATACTTGCACCGCCTATTGTACTTCTAACTATGTGCAAATTATCTTATTGAAAATTTCAATGGACTGCATTTATTCTTATGTTAATTCCCGTGACAAACTCTCTGACTCTTTTTATTACATTTGGCGTGTTACTACCAAGTGGCTATTTTCTTCCTGCTGTAACTAACTCTTTCCATGTTTTACTGATAGGTTCGACACTACCAGTATTTCTTTCTTTGATTTACTAAAAGTTCGTGTATTAAATGCTTTGATGATCATGAATTAGAAGACTTCGCTTAGGAAAGTCCGATAAGACAATATTCTAAAAAAAAAAAATGAAAAAAAAATGGAGGTATCAAATAATCACTTCAACTGAATTGCAACAAGAGGGATAGGGCTTTTATTCTGTAAGTCTAGAAACCATGGATTCACTCCAAATTTTTAATATGAGAAGTATTACAATTATGGCTTTTTAAATTTTACCTTTGAAATTTGCCTATGAGATACGTATCTTAGGGTTATAACATTTTAAATTATTGTACGTAGTTTTTAATTATCAAAGGAAATACCATTCACGTTACAGATTTTTAAAATTAAAATTATATACATATGCGTTTTATATATAATATATCTTTTGGGGTTATGTACTTATGCAACTAACATATTCACAAGTATTACACCACCTAGTTAAAAAAGTATATGGTAAATCGAAGTACACGTGTCAGTTATATAAGCAAGCAATTTTCGCAGACATCCAATGGGCTTTCGCCACTTCACCGGTTAGCCTGTCGTGGAAAATTAAAACTCTGTGTAACTGATGAACAAACAGTTGTTTATGGTTTTGAATAAAATCTGTAATCACATTTTTATATTCTAGTTCGAAACAAATAATACAGGTAAGATTTCACTTTACCGTATAATAGTCTGTTAGATGTTCTGTGTTCCCAAAGTCTGTGCAATTTAAGCTTATTATTTTTATTTATTCAAACTTCAAAATCAAAGTTAACGTTGTTATTAATAATAGTAATAGTACTACTACACTAATACTAGTAATAGTAGTATTACTGATTAGTTATTAAAACTTTGCTGTGTATAATGATTGGTATCGAAGTTTTGCTTGATTCTTTTGTGATGTTAAAGCATAGAAATGATATTGATAGATATATGAAGCCAAATATAAACAAAATCAACATTCAGGTTCGAATTATAGGTAAACTTGTTTTGGAGGAATAGATACTGGTTAGGCTTAGAAGTTATACTATAGAAGGTTGGTTGATGACAAAGTGAAAAGTTTCGCGAGGATCCTCTTTTTTTTTTCTACGGCTAAATTGGTCAAAGGAAATGAAATTTAAGCAATACGTATATGGTAAATGCACAGTAAATGCTAAATAAAGCAATGAAAGCTTTTAATGGGATTGGTCAAACCAAAAATGTTGCTATATGATAAAACTAAAAATGTAATTGTGTATCCATATGGATGTGTTTAACGTTTTAGTTTAAATACGAAATACTATCAGTATTACTGTCTGTGAAGTGTTAGATAGTAAACTTATAAGTGAGGGGTCATCACTATTTCCCTTACCCCCTAATTATGTGATAGAAGAGCTAATTTTCAAACTGGTTATTTAGTATATTAATCATGTGTACTAATTAATTAGAAATTGATAAAATCATTCCTATTTATTGTAAAGCAGCAATATATGCAAGATCAGAGAATTTTCAGGTAATGATAAAACTTCATATTATGTAAAGCATTCTATATTGAAGATATTATTACAATCCCATGGAGCCACATTTGAAGGTATAAGGAAAGCAACATGGGGAAATAATCTGAAGTATGGAGTGGCATACCCTCTCCATCTTGCACATGAAGTGAATAGTCCAGTAGACAGACCCCAGCAATAGGGCTAAGTGTAAACTAATAAGGTTTTCTGTTAAAAAAAAAAAAAAAAGTACTTTAAGGTATCCCAGTTAAGAATGTTATGAGTGCCCAGTTGACATGGTTGAGCATTTTTTTTTTTTTTTTATATTGATGAAATTAGTGACATATTTAATTCCATCTAGGCATGAGCATCACAAAGTGATTTACAGTCTTTTGGGAGATGCATAGGTCAGTAGACTATTTCTTATCGTCAGCATTACCACATTGTCCTCATCATCTATGTAATTTTGTAAGTGTATTTGTAGGACACTGTTTGTAAAACCATGTAAGTTTCCTTGGATAAAGGGATCTTATAAGTAATATAATTATTATTAATGTTAGAGAACTTTAGGCCTAATACTAATAGATATATCTATTTCAAAATAAGTTATGGAAAAAGTTTACAACCATGTGGAGGCAGATGTAAACATCATCAGTTTTTAATTGTGTTTCATAAGTATACAAGTCTCATTCAAGTGTTAACCAGTGACACTAACACTTTTGCTTTTCTTGCTTTCTTTGTCTGAAAGCTCAAAAATACCACTCGGGTTTCTATGAAAAACATGATGGGAAAACATCTTGGGTATAACAAAACTTTTCAGAAACTAGGAGAGCATGTGACAAAGGCAGATTCAGTGCTGTAAATGTACTGCTTATAAGTGACATCAATGTATAGTAGCATCTGCCTGAAATCACTGCCAAAGAAGACATCCTGAAGTTGGCATTGATTTCACGATCCACCTGTATGGTGGCATGCCAACAACAGATCTTAACAGCCTTGGATACCAGCTTTTCAAGAAAGAAGAAGAAGAAACCTCAAACTCAAAAGCCATAAACTCTGCTGTGAACCATTTTAAGCAAACCCATCTCCAGATACTGATCCTTTGCTTATAATATTTAGTTCAGTAAAAAAGTACATAAGTTATGTATATACAGTAGAAAATGTTACATATTTTGATAAAATTCTGTTGTTACTTAACTACGTTCTGTAAACTTGCATGTAAATAAAAATTATTTTGTTTATTTTTAGTACCTTAATTGGTTTTTGCACTCTGTGTTAGTACATATTATGTATGTTACAATTGGCATGATTTATGACAAAATAACGCTATGTAGATAGCAAAGGGTTGTTACTATTTTCCTTACCCCTAATTGTGTGACAGAAAAGCTAATTATAAAACTGGTTATTTAATATGACTCATGTTTATTAATTAATTGGAAATTGTTTGTTCTTATTTGAAGCAGTAATTGAAACAAGTATTTGTAAACAGGCTTGTAGCCAAAAATTAAAGGATTTTTATTGCTCTTAAAAAATGCTCAATTGTGTCAGCTAGGCACCCTTGTATTCTTAAATGATATATCCTGTAAGATTCCTGTCAGAAGAATAAAACAAAAAAAACCCTTTTTAATATACAGCTTCATGGTTCTTGGTCACTTCTGCTGGATTAGAGGGATAAATGATCTAGATAGTAGTGAGGTTTAGAAAGTTGGTTGATGAAAATGGAAAAGTTTCATGGGTAACTTCGGCTTTACAGTGAAATTCATCAAAATACATGCAATTTAATAAAAAAAAAAATATGGTAATTACATATTAAGATGCTAAATACAAAAGAGTGAAAGCTTATTATTATTATACTAGAGTTGGTCAAACCAAAGGTGTTGCTATAAAGTAAGAATGAAAAAATTTATCAAATTGGTTATTCAGTATGGCTACCATGTTTACTACTTAATTTGAAATTGAAGTCATTACTTAAGATATATTGTAAAGCAGCAGTATAAGAAGCTGGGAGAGCTTTCAGCTAATGTTAAAAAAACACTTAATGTATAAAATATTCCATATTAGAAACATGATTTAAATCCCATGAATCTACATTTGAATATATAAGAAGGGAACATGGGAAGTAATTTGCTTTCGAGTCATAGGATCCACTTTCTCTGCTCGCATGGAGTGAAGGTTTGGTGCTCCCTTGCAACCCCACAGAAATTACCATTGAATACTACACAATAAACTATATTGTTTTTAATCTTGTATCTTTCTATTTATCTAAATAAAATATATACAAATAAATAATAACTTGATAGCTTAATATAATTGCATAAAGCAGAGAAAAGAAATGAAATGATACCAGTCTAAAAATGTTTGTGATAAATAATTCTGAAGGTTGTAAAGGAAATGCATAAGAAGAAAAAAAATTAAACCAACTTTTAAGAACTATTTTGAGCCTAAACAATATATGAAGGGTATTAGTAAGTGAACCATTACAATGTACAAAACATTAGTATAAGAAATTTAACTAATAAAATTTATTGTTATAAGAGAAAAAATGATAAAGGAAGTTAGTTTAGTATAATTCAACCCTAATTAAAGAAATTAATAATACTGTTAGCACAAATTTTGTAACTTAAAAGTTTCACTTAAAAAGCCATCTGTAAAATTATATCATCCAAAGAATTTGCTTGAGCACAACAGAAGTATTTATAATATAGCATATAAAATATACATTTTACTGTATTTCAATGGAGAAAGGCAATGTTATAATTCCATTGTAACCCACAAGTCTTGCTTTGGTCACTGAGGTTGACAAGAACTTTAGTAACCAGAATCCATTTTTATTAATTTTATTTTCTTCTGTTCAAGTGTTGTTGCTGATGTAGCTTTTTAATTTTATTGTTTTTGAGAAGAGATTTATGATAGTTTGTTATTTGGATATCTTTTTTTACTTTTATTCTGAATTGTTCCTTACATTGTCATTTGCACTTATAAAGGATGGAAATTTTTGTTACACTCACTTGTATAACAGAATGAGTACTGTATCCTTTTACTTGTAGCTCTAGAGAGGCTTTTATTCAAAAGTTGAGCCTCATAAATTATTTGAAGTAGAACTTTGGAAGTTTCCGAAATGCTTCACGGTGAGGGAGTTCTTGTGGTTGAACAGAGAATGTTATTCAGTCAGAGCTTCAGTATAAGCCCACATTCCCGAGATTAAGTTTGCTTTTAGCTCTTTGTGATTCTCAATATTTTTTTGGCTCAGAACCTATTTATACACATTAATGGCCAGTTGTAATTTGGTAAGTAGCTTTTGTGCAAAAAAACATCTGGCTTAACAAATACTTACTAAATAATTAAATACTGTTATTTATATTCTGTATCTGTTTCCAACCGTTTCATGTGCATTTCACATGACCCAACTTTGGGATGTGACCCAGAGGGTTGAGAAACTGATCTAAGCTCTCTTTTGTTCTTCATTGTTCATTGTCTGTAACACTATTGAGTTTATTTCAATCAAGGTGGTAATTAAAACTTAAATTAAGATATTACACATGCTTTATCTTGCACATTGTGTAACCAAATGCCATTTATACAATTCACCAAATGATCCAAAATACCCTTCTAAAATGACAGTATATTCCTCACAGCCAATTAACTTAATTCTAATGTTGTTGTTTGTTTGCTTTTTTAACAACAGTACTTGGGTAAATGATGCATATTGTAAACATGGCCTAACACAGCAGCATTGTTGGTGAAATGAAACTTGATCCATGCAAAACGTTTTTACCTGTCATGGTGAAGTATCATAATTCAAATGAACCAGAGAATGATATAACATGCATTTGATAAACAAACCAACTTTTATTGTCTTTTTCCAACCTCTACTTGAATCTCTATTGAGTTCTCATTGTGGGTTTAGATCACTAGCCTAAAGCTTCCTAAATTGAGATATAGGCAATTATATTACACCATGAGGATCAGAAACACTGATTGGTTTTAAATAAATAAAATTACACTTGTATTCAAGCTACAAGGATCAAATTAGCATAATCTTTTCATAACTACTCCAACTTTCCCCTAGAGGGATCAGTGTCATATTAAGGTAAGAAAGAATTTGGGAAAATCATAAACGTGTTTTCATTTGGAGCTTGCTGAAATCAACTCTGAATGAAATTTTCAGTTAAAAAAAAAAGTTGTGTATGAAGTTATTCAATAAAAAAGTTATTTATTTAAATTTAAACTTTGAAGGTTTTTTTTTTAGTGTGTGGAAGAATGACTGCAAGTTTTTGTATAACTATTTTAAATTAATTGTCATAATTTCCCCTTGGGGGTGGGTTGCACTCATATAGCTAAGCTACATAATCTTTTTGGGATATTTTAAAACTGTTAATTCTGATTTCATTTATTATATTTTGAAGGCAAATATAATTTTTAATTATGCCTCAATATGTAAATATATCTTGAATGCCAATGTTGTGAGATTTCATGTAACCCTAAAGTAGTGTTTTTACATTAAAGAATTGGAACTTTATATTACTTTTATTTTTTTCAAGTATCTTGATTTCTGAAAGTAAGACTTTCTTTTTGCCATTTAAAATTTTTATATTACATTATTTTGGTTTTTCTGCTAAATATATTATATAATGAATAATTATAATCAATTAGTGGGTTAAGGTTTTACTGGTTGTAATCTTACTATTTAAAAGAATAGTTATCATGATTCTTAGCTATATTATTGAGAGAAAAAAGAACAAAAGTATGTGTTACTGTTTCTGTTTTGTAGTTTAAACTTACCTTCATTGATTTTTTTAGGCTCAATTTTTCATGATGTACTGGTTATCTAGAGCAAGCTTGGTGATTAGCTTTGTTGTTCTTTTAAACAGTCAAAATGGTAAGTGTATTTTTTGTACATCTTAGTTACAGTGTATGTTTTATAATTTTTTTTTTTCAGTATTTACAGTTTTTACAAAGGATAGAAATTATAAATAAAATTACATTCACTCTACAGAAAGCTATTAGTAAGATTACATTCCCTTGTGTAAAGTTGCATTTCCTCATGGGATGTTTTTTTATTCAATCCATGCAATATGTTCACTTTCATTGGTCATAACTAAAGGAATATGGATAGACCATGCATTCCCATTTGGGAAAGCTAATTAAAAAGATAAAATTCCTCAAGTAAAGTTAAATTCCTCGGTAATGTAATATTTTGATACCTGGTTTTCACCTCAGATCCAGAATACCCAAAATATGAATAAATTGTTACATATGAAGAAAAACCTCTCTTAATCTTACTTGTAGATGTGATTGAGAGGTATTATAAGTGAAGTAAGATGTTTTCACTTGCTTGATTGAGTAGTGAGTTAAATTTCAGGAATTGTTACCCTTTAGTGGTTATTTATTTACATTGCATTTGCAATGTAAGTAAATAACCACTTCATTTGATGATGACCATCTAATAACATTGGATAAAATCTTGAAGCATGATGTGAAATCATAGCTAATGTAAATGTGGATAGGTACCAACTAGGAAAATGTCTGAATGACAATTTCTTAAAATATGAGTGAAAGGTATAAAAAGAACTAGATGAAAACTGCAACATAAGTTCATTCATATCATACCAAGGAATAGATGGAGGTAATGAACAACCTCAAACTAAAACAGGTTATATACAAGCCATAACTGAAGATGAATGTGAACCCCCAATTTTATGATAGTATTATCTCATGATCAACATTAATACAAAAAATGTGTATTTAAAATCAAATTTTGCTATTCAGTACTTTCACTATTCAACTACAGGACTGTCTTCAACTTACTTGCTATGACGTGATCAAAGAAAACTTTGAAGTGAATGTTATTCGGTTTAACAAAACTAAACCGTTTTAATCCTTATATGTAAGGATGTTTTGCTTTCGTGCTTTAATTTATATTATGAATAAAAGTAACTGTAATAAGAGATATCTTTGTTGTCACTTTATTAATTAATAGGAGAGGATTTAAGGGCTACATGTTTCTAATTAAAAACACAAATTTGTGTAAATTGTTGGTAATATTTATATTTTTGCCTTTTTTGTTGCTCTGAATTTTGATTTATTTAATACTATTTCCTTTGTCCTAACTTTTGGTATGTAGATGTTTGGGTTGTCCTTTATTATCACAAGTAAATGCATCTTATATTTATATACATTATAATATTTAAAGAATGTGGAGAATTTATGTTAGTAATTTATTCTTTTAAGAAATACATTATCTGGCCTAATATTGTATAGCTTCTGCTTATATTGCATAAATAATCTGTGGCATTGAGGAATAGTTTGTCAAGCAAAACAGTAGTTTTTAGCCAAAATAAAAAAAAAAGAAATGAAACTACTGCAGTCTTTTCTGCTTATGTAGTTTGTGTATTATGGTAGAAATAATTTTTGGATAATTCAGTTTTTTCACACTTTTCTTGGTTCCTGTAATTTATTATGAGATTGTGCATTGTGGAAGTGTTGACTAGTACAAAAGAGTTATGGACATTGTTTGGTGTAAGCTGGCACATATTTCAGTCATCCAAACACGTGTATGCATTTTTATTAACAAACCAACCTTGAAAAATGTATTAAAAGATATGACCAACAAATACTAAAATGTTCTCTCAGTAAGAAAACCTAGATTTAAGGATAATTCCTCTGATGTAATTGACAAAAAAGTGGTCATAGAACCTGTTTCTTGTCTTAATATTTGGTTGTGCTCTCCCTGGCCTTGATAACTGTTTGACATTGCCATGGAATGGAGTGCAAAAGGGACTGAATGTAGGCAGGAGTGAGTTCATGCTGCTACACGTGGATTAGGGCTTCCTGCAGTTCCAAGATGCTTCTTGGTTCCTTTTCTTGCACTTTTTTACCTATTATCTTCCAGTAGTTTTTGATAGGGTTGAGACCTGGGCTATTGCCTGGCCAGAATATTTTCTTGATCCTATCACTTCAAAGCATGAAGCAATGAAATATAACCCAAGATGTCTTTTCAATACATGTAGAGTGAAATTTCCTCTATTTCATGTCTGTTGTATAGAGTAAATGAATATCACCAACCTTTTTTTATTTATCCCTGTGGCATAGAGCAGATTTAGCTCCACTGAAGTGAACCCAAATTGTTTGATTTAATTGGTACTCGAGCATCTTGATGTACTTGTCAGCATTGACAGTGCCCTTCACAAAATGCAGGCATCTCACACCATGACCAGGGATGCATCCCATATCAGCTGATCCTGGCACTTTGAAATTACCTTCAAACATGCTGAATGAAACTTTTTTTTTTTTTCCCCACATCAAAGTGCTTCCCATCAAACTCTTGTAAGTGGAACTTTGATTCATCTGAGAAGATCACTTTGCTCCATATTGCTTCAGTTCAGTCAACATTCTTTGTCCCACTTGAGCCTCATCTTGTTGGTGAAGAAGTATTTGTTTTTTTTTTTTTTT